GCCTAGTTGCAGAATCAGTAACCAAGCATAGGATTAGTCAATGTTCTTTATGCCTGGACCAAATGGTAAAGAATAGGTATGCTCCTATTTGGCACAATATAAATTGAACTAATTCATTTTATTCATTCACTATAATTTCTTGACAAGGTGAATGATGCTTTCTTATATATTGAATATCACAAATTAAACCCTACTTTCTATCATTAGTTATTTATTTGTTATCAAAATTATCTACTTATTTCAATTGTCTATTAGTGACAGATAAGCAAATTGAACGCCGTCGTTGTAGTTGAAGTATTACTTTTTATTAAGCTTTAGCCCGTAGTATTCTATTTCTTCCTGTGAAATCGATAACTAGGACTCCATTAGAGCCCTAAATTACTTGAGCGATACGTATACTTGCGTTGACAAATTCGACTTTGACATTATTGAATATTATATATATACATCTTTATTAAATCAAACACATATATATAAAGTTGCAGTCAAGATTTTGACACCGTTGCCGGAATTTAAATCTTTTAGTAGCGTCATCAAATTTTTGTAATTGTCAATTTACAAAAATAAAAAGGTCAGTCACTCCTTTCCCTCACTCTCTTACTCTTGGTTCTTGTCTAATATGAGTAGGGATGAAATCCCCTTAACACAAAACTATCTAGATGGTTATTTCAAACCGAATTAAATATTATGTTTCTCCTTTTTTTCAATTATTACAGTGCCCTATCAATCTTTTTTAGCAGTTGCCATTTTTGCTTCCATATTGAACTATTTTTAAGATGCTGATAAGGACGTAATATTATTTACTTTATGTTGCATACTCTTTACCTATTCTGCTTATAATTATTTATATATAAAATTTATCGCTTCTAACTAAAAAACAATTTTAATCAATTTTGACCTTTGAGATTTATGCCAAAAGTTTAATTCTTTCATCACGTCCCGTTTTGTCAATATAGACCACCACCTTCCAAGCATTAGATTGCGTTTGTTTCAGTTGTGGTTATACAAAATCTCAGTTCAAAAGCTGCAAATCTGTTATTAAGAAGCAGTTGGTTTGTTTGAAAAACACAAAACTTAAAGTAATGTTTGTGGACTAATGACTGGAATACCCCTCAGTCTATATTATGTAGATAATATAGACATTTTCAGTATATGTTATTCTTCTTCTTTAATTATGTTACCAACATAATCAAATGTAAAGTCTATAAATTAATTTTTCAATTAAGTGAAGGAATTTGACATACATACCACAAAATTTTTATGTAAAATTTTTATACTGAATACCTAAATATTCATAACTTCATGCATAATATTCAAGGTTTTAACATCTCAAAAAAAAAAAAACACCATCATTATGTTTTTAAAAATGAAATAAATTTTCATGCATAGGTTATGATGCAGCACAAGGGACTTCAACAACGCATGAATAAATGTCATACATTGTTGTTGTACTCGCAAGGGTAATCAAAAAATTCTCCCTAAGCAATCATGAATCAAAAATAAATGCAAGCACAACTGTATACAAATCCTCAAAAAAAATTTCCACTGGAGGGCATAACTTATGATCAGCTCAAAGGAGAGATTGGAGAGATCCGCACTATCGTTTGTGGTCGTCTGCCTTCCGGGATCTTAGCAAGGGAGTCATTTGGCGAAGTGAGACAGAGATACGGGGTTTTTCTTCAAGGCAAGGTCTGAGGGTTTCGAGGCTGAGGGTTGCGGGGCTTCGTGACTAACAGCTTTGGCGTTCAAGAGTCGCTTCCGGAGTCGCACGTCACCTGGCAAGAAAGGGATGAGGGCTTTGGCCCAGAGAGCTGCGGGGCTGAGGGGGATGAGGAGTCGTGTGTTGCCTACGAACGAAAGGCAACAAGGGAAAAAAATACGAAGCTAAGGAATTGGCATGCCGAATGCATATTAAACCAGTAACGGAGTTGCAAACCGAACCGTGACGAAAAAATCCATCTAAACAAGAGAAACAACGTTTTACAAGTACCCGTGGTGCGAAAAGTTGAAACAAACACAGCCTTAGTGTGACATTTCATTTCATGGAAAATTCTAGCAAGGAAAAAAGAAAACATTAAGGACACTTTCCAAACAAACTAAATGGTTGGATTGAATTATGGATGCTTCCAAGGACAAAGATCTATTAGGGTAACATGCATCTACTTAGAAGTATATGAAGCCTGACCAGTAGTGAGAACTTACTGAAAAATTTGTTGTCGACAACTCTCAGAATCCCCTGTTAGTATCAACTGCCTGAGATTATAAACATGCTTTCTTTGTACCTGAACAACAAATTAAATATTAAGGTGACAATATAAAGATTTTTTTAAATGATAAATTAAATTCAGTCAACATAGAAAGATGTGTGTGGCATGTTAAGCAAAAGAAACTAATAAATTTTGCATAAGACTTGGTCTTGATCAAGTAATGGTTTATTCAGTAATTAAGCGAATATTGGCAGTATGTAATTGACCTAATTTTGTAATAAATCAACAAAATTATGTTCAATTTAAATTCTCTGCATTCAGACATCCAACCCCTCAAAAAACACAATATATTAAAACCCAATTTCTTAGAAAAAGTATAATAATGGCCCATTTGGGGTAGCGTTTTAGGTGCGGAGTGGCTCGAAAACATTGGATTCCTATTTGGTCCAAACGGTGCGGGTGAGTTTTATTAAATGCACCTGTAAAATCCAGTCGCGGGCTGGTGGTAGTATGCAGCGGTTTCACTCAAAAGATTTTCCTTCGCTAACCCCGCTCCGAGTTCACCCGAATAAAATCTGTCCCTACTGAGTCCTAGGTCATTTAGTTGATTTGGTTTCTTTCATTTGGAAGTTGTGGCGAGAGCTCGCTTCCTGATTTCTCTACCTCTTCTTTCTTTCGTCCTCTGGTACCTTCTACCCTTTACTTTTTACATTATACGCTATGTTTGATTCGTGATTCCTCTGGCTCACCAAGCTTTGTGATTTTCTGCGATGGCCTTAGTTTTTTTATATGCATGCCATCGGCATTATGGTTTTCTGCAATGCTTTACATTGTTTATGTGGTTAGTGTTGTTTGTGATTTTTCTGTGATAGAGAAATTGGATTTCTATGATTTTTTTCTGTGATGGAGAAATTTGGAGATTTTTTTTTTAGACCTTTGGTGAAACATGTAGAAATGCTCTTGGTGATGGCCTTAAACTATTGTTGCTATGTCCTTTGAATTTCCTTTGATTACCTTCGATTTCTTATGTTGCATCATGCTGTCTGTGGTATTCCTAGTATGGAGAAAATTGGAGTTTTGTGGGTTTTTCTACGAGGAGAAATTTGAAAAAAAAAAATTTTAAAAGTTTGGATGCCCCATCTCCGCAACTTTGTGCCTTGGTTATTCACTCTTCATTGATTTGTCAATCACGGTTGCCACTAGTATGGTCGACTTTCTTTCTTCTTTCTGGTTTGTACATTACCTATTTTCTTTAGTGAAGTTGGATTGAATTCCTGACATAGGCAATGCTTCGTTGCCTCTTTCAGCTTTGAGGGTTTATTAAAATGAAAAGCACTTTGACCAAATGCTCAAGTAATTGTTCATTTGGTTTATGTTTTGGATTGAAAAAGTTGCATTAGGCTAGATGATCTAAGTTGTTACTTTGGTATTGCTTAGATCAAGTCAATTGTGAGATTTAAGATGTACCAAATTATCATTGTGTTTTAATAGAGCTTGCCGGTCATTTTTTGTCAAGATTAACCGTTACAATTGGCTATCCTCAATATTTTCGTCTTGCTACTATTATTTTATGTGCTTCACCTATATTGTCTCCTTACGTAATGGTAGTTTTTGCTTCATTATTACCTGCTAGTTATTCCATGTGTCATTGAATTTGAATATTGAATTTCTTAGCCGTGGAATAATGTTTGACCCAAGAGTTTGCCCGAGTTTTTTTAGAAGTATGGGAGAATTATGGAGAAATGGTGTTGGTGGCGGCCTTGGATTATTTTTGTGATGTCCTTCAATTTTTCTGTGATTTCCTTTCATTTTTTAAGTTGTTTCATGCCTACATGATTATTTTGTGATGGAAAAAGTTGGAATTCTTTGTTGGGGAAATCCGGTATGTGATGAGCTAGGAATGATGGACATCTTCAATTCAACCCGAGCGAGTATCGATGTTAGGCATTTCTTTTTCATTTGTTTAGTTGTGGGTTCCCTAAATAATTAGTAAATATTTTTCGGTTGATTTGAATGCTCAGGTCAAATTATCCTAAAAAATTATCATACTTGAAGACCTTACTACATTTCAAAGCACCCCTATAGAAATTTTACAAGATCAATGTTATGTGTCATATTTCAAGGTAGATTTTTGTGTTCATCTATTCTAAAATTTACTTAAGCATGGTAACACTAATATCTTGCATAATGATCTAGAATTGTATTGGAGCAATTGATGGAACACATGTGGATGCACGTGTGTTCAACAATAAATACATTGGAAGTTGTGGTTCACCAACATAAAATATTATGGTTATATGTGATTTCAATAAGTGTTTCGCTTGTGATGACCGGATTGGAAGATAGTGCACATGACAGTCATATATTCAAATTTGTCACGCAAACTTATAAATACAACTTCTCAAAGCCGCCTTCAGGTTTGTTTGAATATGAATAAATAAAATATTTATTGCATTACAATACTAATGAATATACTTATAATAGAAAAACATTATTGGTTGAAGTTGGATATCTATTACAAAGAGGATATCTCAAAACCTTCCCTTATGTAAAATATCACATTCCTAATTTAAAAAAAGTCAACAATGTAGCTTAAGGTAGAATGAGATGTTTAACAAGAGGCACTCATATTTGCATGTTGTTATTGAGAAGATAATTGGGGTTAAAAAAAAAGAGTTATTTTGCAAGATATGTCCACATATCCTTTCAACAAAAAAGTGAAGATTGTGGTCGCTACAATGACTCTCCACAATAACATTCATAAAGGGAATGCATTTTGCATTAAACATAAAAAAGAATGCAAAAAAGTACAAAAACCAAGCCCTTAGGCTTGAGCAAAAGAAGCCCTGTTGTCTTGGAGAATATCAAAAAGCTCTGAAGACTCAGAAGCTGAGGTAAAAGAAAAAATATGAGAAATGATCCTTTGGGCACAAAAGTAGGCAGTCCAATTGAGCTCCCGGGGAAAAAACAAAAAATAACATGTCTAAAATAAGTAAGTAAAAAAGGAAACACTACTCTAAATCATCCTTCCAAGCTCTTTGGGTCATCAATCATCTGAGAAAGTTGATGATGTTGGTGTTGTCGCCTTTCACCACAATGTCTTTGGCCTCCCGCATCCAAGACAGGAACATCTTTTGTATCAAAAGAATTGTTTGGAATTCCACTTTGCCACTATCCCAATGTAGCAATTGGCTTCACATAGCACAAAGAAGCTTACCGTTCTAGCCACGGAGGACAACACCTGCGTCAGCCCGATAATTCGAAAGGAGCGCACCATCAACATTAACCTTGGGCCAACCCGGTTACATTCGTTGACAACATTCACGTAGTGATATTAATTTTAATAGCGTAGATGAGGATTAATCACATGTCCCCACCGAAACATATGAACATTGCCTAGGTTAATCAATATCACAAGCTGAATCTGATGTACATGCCTTGTACACAGGGTGCGGAAGGTGCTGGGAAGATGATAGAATTGAGAGAGTAAATTACAAGTACAATACTTAATGGGTGAAATGATGTTGTACTTTGCATTTTCTTTATATACGTTTAATGTATTGCAAAAACGCTTATTGCTTATTGTAATGACGCTATATGCAATGAAGTTCATATGGAATTTCAATTCGATGCAAATTACTTTTCATTCTTTATGCATGTATTTGTTTCCACACGGATGGCCTCTAGGCAACCGTGGATTTAATAAAAAAAATTTCTTGCGTTTTTTTTTTTTTTTGAAATCTATGATGCATAAATGACCTTAAGGGTCCTTCTAAATGACATTTGTAGTGATATGATTTTGTCGCACATATGAGCTCAATATAATATGACTTTAGGGCAGCCAAGATCTCCTTCTTCATTCATCTGGTTGGCCTTTGCGGTGATATGATTCTGTGAGACATACAAGCTGGGTAATACATTGTTTAAAGGCAACCAAGTTCTTGTTTTCAGTCAGTTAACAGTTGTGATTCTTTTTGGATGGTCTGTGGTGATATGCTTCTATGACATATACGAGATCGGTATTACATGATTTAAAGCCAACCAAGATCCTTTTTTAAGGTCTTCTGTCTTCTTGTGGTGAAATTATTCATCGGTTTATCATTTTTGCTCTGATACCTCAGAGTTTCATAAAACTTTGTATATTTCTATTATTTTTATTATCTCATGTTGCATCTAACTATTTGTGGTTTGTGGTTTTAAACACTCAGAAAATATGAGTTTGAGCTCTTCCAATGCCTCTAGAGTCTTGTATTGCTACTGTGAATTACAATGCTCTCTACATACTTCACGACAATAGCATGGCTATGGGAGAAAATTTTACAAGTGCCCAAGAAATAGATCGGTAGAGGACTGTGATTTCTTCAGGTAGACGAATCAGTTAGACGATTCCACCTCAGATAGTGATCACACGTGAGAGTTTCTTTGTAGAAGAAGTTGTCTCGTAAATTTGAGTGTCTGCATTTCAAATTAAATATTATGTTAATGTTAATTGTTGTTTTAATAGTTTTATTTTTAATTTTGCTTGTTGTGTTACTCACAGTTTAGTGAGATGTCAGTTTTTAGTTATAATATTCGCACTTATGAGTTTTTTGTGGATTTTGAATCAAAGTTTTGCATTCATGTATGAATTATTCAACCTGAACTAGTTCAATTATAAACAACACAACAATATAAGGCAGAAAAGTCTTTTATCATAAACAGCTGCAGCACAATTATTATATAACTGGACAAAATAAAAAAAATAGCATCCCCGCAGCAGCTTCTACGCACAGGTACTGTGCAAAAACTTTATAAAAAGCTATTGCGTGGTAACTTTTTAAGAAACTACAGCAGCCTCAAATAGATTCTAAGAGAAGTTGAACATTGGAGGAGCCATATTACATAACTAGCTTTTGTGACAATCAAAGAACAAAGGCTAACAGGTAGAAAACAATATTGGGCTTTAATTAGCTAAGCATATGAAGAACTTGCTCGAAAAAATAAAATATTGACCTCCAAGACTTCATCGAACTCAACGAGGCTCTTCCTTATTCCAAAAAAGTATTTCTCAGCATTTACTTGAAGATCCAAAAGCTGAAATTATATAAACAGAAAGAACTTAGCATAAAATTATTCATGACAATTACCAATAGAAGGAAGAACAGCAATAGCATTGACATAAGACAAAAATTAATAAGAAGACCTGTTTTACAACTGCACGACCTTCAATTGGTATATCCTCATTATCTGTTATCTTTGATATGAGCTTCACAGCCCACTCCGTATCAAAATTGAACTTCTGAAACATCTCGTCCTGTAAACTGTTAAATGAAGTGTCGATTTATTATTTCATCTAAAAGGAAAAAAAAGTCAGACATAGGGCCTATACAAACAAAAATTCAGTTCATAATCCATGCTTCATGACAAGGACAATAATGAAAAGAATCTTAAGGATGATGCCAGAGCAGATATCTCCAAAATAAAATAACCAATTTAAAACCCATATATCATAACAATTGCTAAAACTCTATAATAATTTTGACTCAGGGTTCTAGACACTAGAAACATACTAAAACCCTGGTTAGCAAAACCACAGAAGAGGTCCAGGACACCCATATGAATATTTTAAAATAAGATTCAAAACATACAAGAAAAAAATAAAATCTATGTTGTTTTGTGATTAACATGAGTACTCTTATTTATAACTACAACTAATTTAATACAGCAGTAATAATGAATATATATGTTTTGATACTAAATAAATTAGAAATAATTATAAATACTAAATGCAACAGTTGTCACTTTTAATCTTTAATTTCACTTTGATAGTCAATCTCATATATGCATTTTGTGTCTTACCACTCGGCATTCAACTTAGAAATTTCATATGATGTTTGCATAGATTTTGACATATTTAATTGACTAGGATATTACCTATGTAGCACTAACACTTAATGTGTCGTACCAGTGTCGGACACGTATCAGACACCGACGCTTGTCCGACACATCTCAACGCTATAAAATATGTCTGAATTTTTTTCAGGCCAGAACACGTCTGATTCACATATCAACATCACATCAGATGTGATATCAGATGTGATCATCGGATGTGAGCATCGGATGTGAGCTTAATACGATTTCAAGAAAATGGGACACAGGAATTAAAAAATTATAAATATATTGTCGAGCATCGAAGGTGCATCAAATATTCATCGAAACCAAGCATTAGTAATTTCCTCATCAAAATCACAGGATTTTTTAGATTTTAATAAATAAGTTGAATTATAAGTTGGATAATTCTTTTGAAACATTATATCTAATTTTAAAAATTAATTTTCATAACAATGAGTTTTTATAATATGAATTAAATTTATGAAGTTAAATTTTATTCTTGTATAATTTGTGTTGTAATATTTTTAATAAAGAATAATGAATATGTATATATTTATATTGATAATTAATTAAATATAAAAACATGTCTATGACGTGTTTTCTCAATTATGTCGTGTTGAGCTGAGTTTGTGTCTCTGTGTTCGTGTCTGTGCTTCATAGGTTGTCACCTATATCATCGTATATAATAACCACTATAAAGTTAGACAACCCAACTTCGAACATATCAGTATCCCCTTAATACTAATTGGACTGTCTCAACCTTGATATCAATATTGGGGAATCTATTTATTTCCCTACCAAGCTCACTCATCATAATTTTTATTTTATCTAGCTCAGGTCATCATTACAGCTAAATGCATGATATTTCATTGATTATATTTACCTATTATAATTATTTTTTATGTATTTCTTGCTTAACATGAATGTACATATTAACAATCAACTTTATTAACATGCACTAGAAATATAATGTGACATGAGATATCCAACATTTGTACTTGGTTATGCATTTCTATAACAATGCTATGAACAAGTGATCATCTACATGTATTAAACAGTACAAATGAGTTAAATATGCTCAATATGAAATAAGTTCTGAATGCATGACATAATAAACAAATTTATTTATAAACAGTTGAAAGCATTAATCCTCCAAATTATTTGCTCCTTATTTTAGCAATTTAGTATCCCATATTGATCATCAAATCCCTATCCTCACCTTGAACTCACTTCAATACATAAATAAACTAGAATAACAAATTACTTAAAATTTATGAAGTTCGTAAATCAAACTCAGCTCGGCTCGATTGTTATTTTCACCTCAAAATGACTTCTCTTCATTAAGCCTTCGTGGCAAACAAGTTGAATTCGAACACAGTTCATCGCGAAAAGAACAAAATTCAGAATTTCTCTTCTAAAGCGTAATTTTCCCTAAAATTCTTTCATATCTACAATACTCTCAATCAAATCAACTCTCAGAATAAAATAGAAGAAATTGAATCCTTACCTTAAAACCTAACTTTCCTTCCCTTTACCTTTATTTTCTCCCTTGCAAGCTGCTACGCGAGACAGCTTCCATCTCTCTATTTTACAGGAGGGAAGTTTTCTTAAGGGCGAAAATATGGAGCTCCTTAGGCAAGATATATTATATATGTAAAAGTATTATTATGTTAATATTATAAATTAAATTAAACTAAAAATGTTCACAACCTTTAAATTACTTTTACCCAAATCAGTCAATGCATGCTCAGATTAGTGGATTTTATTTTCGGCGCTACGGTATGCTACAATGCCATTACAGCACATTTAATAAAAAAATTAGTAAATTAATTAAAATGCAAACTAAATAAATTTTGTATATTTAAAAATTAAAATACCCTTCTATAGGTCAAAATGATCGAATTGAAATGTAAAATTTTAAAAAAAAAATTTGATAATTTTTGGAATGTGCAAAAAAGTGGGATATAATTTAAAAGACAAATCTAACTTACTTATTTGTCATTTTTAGATGTTACAGAAAGTCCATGATTGCCCGCAATGACAACATCGTAAGATCTTGATCTGGTTCGTTCCCATTCTCCATTCTAAGTTATGGTGATAATTTCCTCGATCTAAAATCAAATTCCATTACCATGCTCTAAGCATTTAATGAGTATCAACCGGCTATAATCATAAGTTCTCTCATGTCATTGAGAGAGATAATTAGCCATAAAGGTTTGCAGCTATAAGAAACCTAGAACCATATCATAGAGTACTTGCAAAATGAGGGTGTAATTTCCCGCTATTGTCTTATCTAAAATCTTATAAACCTTCAAAATTTAACATAAGAGAATAAACTCTCTCCCAGAGCAATTGGACGCAGATTTTTAGAGCCCGCATTGATATGAAAATAGAAGTCCCAGTAATAAGTTCCCATCTTTAAACTTCAGAATACATGGCATCTAATATAGAGATAACACAAAATGACATGAATTAGCCAAATGTTGTAAACTTTGTTCAAGACTTATAATCCCGAGAATAACAACTTTCAACTTATTTATAATGTAGATTGTTTATACGTTAGAAATTAATGCTTTTCATTGTAACATGAGGGCATATCCAACATATTATTCCTTTATAGCTTCTAAAAGGTATTGGACGCAAGTCCAAAAATATGTTTATCACAAGATTTGATGTTAAACTAAATTCACGACATTTCTCTGAGACAACTTCTCTCTTAATTGCAACTCACATCAGTCGGTCAATGGTTGCTAACGTGAGTGAAAGAAATGGTTTTACGAAATACTTGTTAAAAAACGAGTACTTCTACAAGTTTTATGCTAAAACAATTACATTTTAAAAAAAATGGTCCAAATCTACAAATATTCTATCAGAACCATCTTAACTCTAGGCCCCATCACTAGTTCATTAGATGCTATCAAATCCACAGAATAGTCGCAGTCCAAGTTCCACTAAATTTGCAATGAGGATAATTGTTGAATTTAACAAGAAGGTCAGCACTAATAGCAAGGGACAGCAGTATTCAGCGTGCATACTTGTCATTCACTAATACTATCTCCATATTAATAACCAATAGATCTGGATCCTTAATAAAATTATAGATAGATGACATAAATTACCTCACCATAAACCTTGTTGATCCAGGATCGCCTTGTCTACCAGCCCTGCCACGAAGCTACACAAGAAAGACGAATAATTAACTCATGCCAGATTGTGAAAAGAAAATTATAAGTAACAAATTCATCCAAGTTGAAGATGGCATATAATAGATGTGAATAAGATACAAAAGTCCGTGTCAACATTAGTCCAGAGGAAATGAAGGTCTCCCTAAATATTCAAAATTTTCCTTTTTAGTAACATATAGCTAAAATTTGCATTTTCTACCTCAATAACTGGAGCAATTGAAATGGTATTTGTAAATAAATGGCTCTTTAGAGACATTAGGAGTTGATTTTAAAATCAAGTGAATGAGTTGCTTCTAAAAAATGCATCAAACATTCTTCTGAAACGCACAACACATAAAATCCTATATAGTCGAGCACGATTTTTTTTTCTTTCAGAGACTGTTTGGGACGGCTTAATGCTTGCGGTGCGGCCCAAGGTCACTGCGCGTGCGTTCGATAAAAGTGGTGTGTCCTCTTAATTGAATAATTTGGAGGAAACATGGGCCACGGGTTCAATTCCACGACCCACGTTTCTTCGCTAATAGTTGACTGGGCTACCCTACTGAAACACTCACCATTCTCTACACCCCTGCCTCTCTCATGATTCTTATCCTAACTTTTCTCTCTCGTGATTCTTACGAGGCTCCCTCTTTCGTGAATCTTTCCATAACTTTCTGGTGGTTGTTGCGGTAAACTTTTCATTCTTCCTCTCCCTCTCTTCTTTGTTCTTCGGCTCAGTTTGTATCATTGGCTACGCCCTCTGTGCAGCGGTTCCCCTTCCTCTCGCCTCTGTTACGGCATTCTCTACCTTAATTATGTGATGGTTATTTATTTTGCAAACACTTATGTGCAATGTTCTTCCCGAGTTCTTTGTGCTCTTATCCTTCGATGGTTTTTGGTTTATGTTGGATTTTGGGATTTTTTTTAGATTCCCTATGATGTGCTCGGATGATGATTTGGGTTCTTTATGCTAAATCTTGTTGAAGGACTTGGTTTTTGTTTACTCTATTGTGTTGATCTTGTTGGCCGAAAGTTGGTGGTGGTTGCATGTACAATAAATTGGAAATACAAATGACTAATTTGAACGTATATGAGTCGTGATTGGTCTGTGCAGGTGGTGGTAGTGGTGGTGTGGATGTGCTGGTGTGTGTGGATGTGCTGGTGTGTGGATGTGGGGTATTATTGGTGTTAATGTGTTGGTGTGTGGAGCTGGTGTTAGTTAGGGCAGTCAAAACTGCTCGTTGTTCGCGAAAAGCTCGTGTTCAGACCTTTAAGAAGCTCATGTTCGATTCGTTCGCTAAATTAACAAGCAGAACACGAACATTTTTTCTGCTCAATATATACACGAGCCGAGCACAAAAAATGATTTGTTCGTTCGTGTTTGGTTCATTTTGGCTCAAAATACTACCAACAATTATATATATATATAATTGATGAGTAGTATTTTTTTAAAAAAATTTAACTTAACTACAAGGCTACAACGATTTATGATCAATTAAAATATCAATTAAAAAATAGAATAAAAAATATTAAATTATATTTAAATGACGTTTTAATACAAAGAATAAGATTTTAATCTTGTCCAAACCCTTATAATCTTACGGCTGCGTTACTAGGGTTGGTCAAAATGACTCTTTGTTTGCGAACTTGTGTTCAGCTTGCTAAGCAAACGAGTCAAACACAAACACAAACACACATTTTGTGTTTGAAATATAAACAAGTCAAACACGAACAGTGATATTTTAACGAGTCGAACACGAGCTCAGCTTGGGCTCGCTCCTGTTTGACTTTTTTACACCCTTAGTGGTAGTGGTGATGGTGTGAGGATGTGGAGGTGTAGTGGTGTGGAGGTGCAGTGGTGTGGTATGGATGTGGTGTGTAGATTGGTGTGGAGGCAGGGGTGACGATATTATGGAATTATTATTTTTATTTGATTTATGGTAAATATTTTTTTATGCAAATATTTATATTGATTAGTTTTTTTTAATGTTAGTAATGTAATGGTTAAGATAAAAGAGATCGGTTCATTTATTATGTAGGATAAATATATGAAAATAAGATTTTGCGACCTTTGCCTTAAAGAGGTCAAATTGGGAAATAGGCCAACGACATTTTTAACAAGGAGTGTTGGCATATTATTGTTAAAAAGTTGAAGGAAAATATAGGTAGGGGGTACGATATAATGCAATTACAGGTGCTCAAGGAGAAAAACAGAAAACTGTGACTTCTTTAGGTGGGTGGATGAGTTGGAGGATTCCACCGCCGAGAGTGACCGGGTAGAGAGAGTTTCCCTGGAGAATGGCTTATCTCATGACATACACCAGTTGCATTTTAAAAATAATATTATTATGATATTAAGTGTTATTTTAATAGTTTTTTTTATATAGTCATGTTACTCATTGTTTAGTGAGCGTCGGTCAACTTTTTTTTTTATTTTGAAAATAAGTTTTAAATTTAATTTAATATAATAGGTATATAATTTGGATTTTGAAAGTATCATGTTTTAATTTTCAAAAAAATGAGACCAAATGAATCTCATTCGTCTAATAGTTTACATAATTGTGTCCGATACCGCAAATACTACACCTTCCCAAAAGCTAAATGTGTACCTCGGTGATGGACCCAATCTTATAAACTAAGAGATTTGTGATATCTGTTTAGTCTGCGAACCTTTTATGTGTGACCGACAAGTTTCACTACCTAATATAAAGATTAATTATGGTTTATTTTACCTAGGTTCTAAGTTCCATATAAAGACAAGCTCTTATAGTTAATTACATCTCAAATGACGGGAGTCACTTGAGAAAACTCTTCATAATTATCAGAGATACTAGTCTTCAAGAATTCGAGGTTTTCACGGTAGGACGTGCAAAGACAAGTAGGAGTGGCTCAAATAGGAACATTTATCAATTATTTTCAAGAGTCCAAAGAAAGAAAAATATAGGGGATGTCACAGATCCTGAGGAGAAACCTTAGTGACTTCCCAAACTATCCTAATGTGCGGCTGCGTTTTGGAGACTATGTTATTTGAGTGGTTCAATCCTATCAATTTTATTATTTGGGACTTACATTTGCATAATATATGATTATGCAAATAGCTCGCAGAGTCTGCAGTGATATGGGGGTTTACGTCGTATCGGACGACAACCTCGGAACCTAAAACGAGTTAGGACTTAGCTGCGCAACATAGTTGCACAGGAGCCTAAAGAGAGTGTGAGAATTCACGTCGTTCTGAGCGAGCTATCTTGAAGTTTTATGGGTTGTTATTGTTTAATTCCAAGGGGAGGAATTGCCGAAGAAGATTGTCTTGTTACTCAATCCAAGCTCCATGTCGTGCTGCCCACAAAGCTGGCTCCAAGCTCCTCATCGAAGTAGCAATCTTTAAGCCTAAGGTTCAAAAGCTTTTACAAGGTTTATTCCAAAGTTTTGGTTTTGTTCTCATTCAAGTCTTATGGGGGGTTAAATTGATTAGAGCGACACCGGTTAAGATCTCACAGTTCCCTCGTTACGGTACGTTTTTCTTTTGAATTTAATTAGTCTAAACGAGTTGTTAAGCTTATTTAAACTGGAGAGATCTCGTTAACAGCCGGGTTACCTTACCTGAGGGACTCCCACAAATTCAAAAGGACGTGTTATGTTTTTAATTTTGTTTTGAAAATGTTGTTTAATTTTGAAAAATGGTTTTGCTTTGAAAATGTTGTTGAATTTTTAAAAATAATTTTTTGGAGAGATATCACCAGGGTGAAGTTTGATGTTGTCTCTTTCGTCTGTTCTAGCATACCTCCACGATCATTTTAACGCTTCGAACACGTCCGAATTTACCTCGCAAAGGCACACTGAGAAGTTAGTATAAGAATTCAGTTCAACGAAAGATTATACATATAAATGTGTAGATGTGCATAATGAAAAGCATGTTAATAGTCAAGTGTATTGCTAATTTGCATAAAACCAATTTATATACATTTAAGATTTGCATAAAACCAATCCATATAAATTTCAGGTTTGCATAAGACCAGACCAAAATGCCCTAAAATAATAGGCAGACTACTTCAAATCAGCCTACAAAAATGTACCAAAACGGTGCACAAATTGTTCTAGATCAGCCAACAAGGATGTCTCAAAACGGTGCCCAAATCATTTTTTAAACGGTATCCAAAACAGCCCCAAAACGATGCCCAAATCATTTTCAAAACAGCACACATACAGGTGCAAGAAATCAAAGATAGCATAGGAATGACTAGAACAGCACATATACAAGTGCAGGAAGTCGAGGGCAGCATAGGAGCGATCCAAACAGCACATACAGAGATGAAGGAAGTCGAGGGCAAATAGCACATATACGATAATTTCGTAGCTCAAAAAGCAATAAACAGCATCCTACAGCACTTGTAAGCTTTCAAACAGCACTTCCTAGCACTTTCTCAGCTCAAAACAACATTAAACAGCAGCCTACAGCACTTGTAAGCTTTCAAACAGCACTTATAGCACTTAATTAGCTCTAAACAACACTTAATTAGCTCCAAACAGCCACCAACAGCACCAAACAGCACTTAATTAGCTCTAGACAGCACTTAATTAGCTCCAAACAATCACCTACAGGACTAGACAACACTTCTAAGTCAAAACAGCAGCTTACTGCTCCAAACAATCATTTAAATGTCCCAAGCAGCAATTATAAAACATCCTTGAAACAATAAAAGCATCGTGCAAGGGCCCCATCCCCATCCCCATCCCCATCCCCAAACCAGTGTTTTTAAAGGCTCCAAACCGCAAGTATAACAGCCCCAAAGAGATGACAGTCCCCAACGAAGTGAATAAATTCTAAGCATGAAAAGATGTCCTTCATGCTAAGAACAGAGGTACTTCTTTTGTAAAATTAAGGATTTGAGTGGTGTAGATGTAAGGTTTAAGTTTTGGGCAAGCAGAAAATATAAGAATTATGTGGTATGCATATAAGAATTGACTCCAATGTGTTAGATATGCGAATACATGGCAATTGAGTGGTACGTAT